TTGGGAGTTCGAAAAATACAGTACCTCAAAAGCTGGTGTTTTTGTTTGTTTGTTTTTTCTCCCCAGGGAAACAAGTGGGCACATGTGGGTGTGTGTGTGAAGGGGGTAGGGGTGGTGCGTGTGGAGTGGCTTATCCGGTTGCCCATCCCCCTGGTCAAATTGGGGGATATATGGGGTTATATGTCCCTATCATCCGCGACTCACTCCTCCGAAGAGGCGTATTTGAAAGGCTGTCTGGTGCTGCACATAGAAATTATCTGGTTGTGAGGATGCATTTCACGGTGCATTTAATTTAATGAACAATGGTACAGCTACATTTGCATAGCCTAATGCTATGCACATCCACTTTATTTGAACAATATGGCGACATTCCAATTTATGCAAACAATGGCGTGATAATGTTAATAGCCCTTTTCAATAACAAGGACATTCAGCGGATGTAAAGCATTTCAACGAAACTGTTGACAACGTCACGACCACAGTTTCCCACACGGCTAGAACAACACAACCATGCGCGTGTTATTATAAATGCCCCAGCTGGCGCATTATTAAACGCGAACCACTGTATTGCCATCCGGGCAGATGGTTTGGGGCAGAACATTGCGACGTGTGAAGGAAGCAAGCGTTTGCCTCTGTCGCGTTGGATGCGACAGTTGTCGACTCAATCATTCTGTACTCCGCCTATGTGGCGAACGATGAGCGAAAACGATCGGCATTTTCTGCAAAACATTCGGTGAATCAATTCATAAACCTGAAAGTGTCTTTTGACGTGCTGTGTGAGGACTCAACTCCTGTAGATTAGGGGAGCCTTCCGGGTGCCCGGTCCTCTACAAAACATTCCGGTAAGATGCTATTTTTTGTATTCAGTCCGACGAGCACTCAGTGGCTTACAAGAATAAAATATGGCAACTAAACAACATTTAACTAATGTCAAAGGCAAAAACCACACTGCAACGCCACGGTGGGCTAAACACATATTGTTCTAATGACCACGTGATGTTTTAGTGATAGTCACAGGGTGAACTATCGACACTTTTATTGAGCATGTGTTTTAGTCCTTCATGCACTAGGGTTCAATTTGCTACAGCCAGTGTTGGTCACTGTCCTGTATACGGGACTCAACGGCCAAAATAGCATACGTACATAATTCAACATTACGATGTAAGTTTTGTCATAAGTGCAAAGCGCCGTTAATTCTCAGTAAGTAAACCTTTAGCTACACAATGTTGTATAAAACTGATTAATCCCTTCGCTACGGACGACTGCTACTATTAAAAACGACGATGCTGAGTTCGCTGACTTAGTTGCGGTACGACTATTACAACATGAGCCTGTAAGGTCTTTCTGTGGAAGGTTTGGTAGCTGCACCGGTGCACGTGTGCTTGACGCTTTGTATGGACAGACTGGTCCAGTCCTTCCTTCTATGATGCTCAAGTCGATGCAACCTGGAAACAGGGATCTTAGTCAGTCATCCACAACATTGACTTCCTGGGAACTGAAAGTCTGTTTTCTGCTGATCAAAGACATTTTTCTTCGAGGCGACGGAGAGACGTATCTCGCATGTAAACATCTGGAGGTAGCGGGTTTTAGTGCATCTTATGCCCTTACCACATCATGTGTCCCAACTACAAATGCTATAATTGGGCCAGCCCAACTACAGTACAGAGGTCCAGTGTGCATGTGCCCAACATGTGCCAAAGTCATATTGTTTACATTGTCACGTCATAGAGGAAGTGCCATATTTTAGATGAATTGCGTCAAGTGTGAGATGCATAAACACGGTTAAGGGTGAGAAATGTCTACAAAAACCCGCCAACAATATCTGTGCCAGCCAACTGCAGCAATACCGTTGGGGCGTGACACCTCTCAAGACAATTGACCGCGTTCCATCGGAAATTAATGTTACTCTCAAACAGAACATGGCAGTTAGACCAAGAAGGGGTTGCTGCAGTATCGTGTAACATATACACAGGGCTTAAAGCCATCAACTTAATTGTGGCCATATCAACGGCAGCCAAACAACAGACGATATGTCACAATGAATTAGTGCATCATGCCAGCCCGCACTTGGGTGTAAATTATTTTTAAATAAAAAACGCACCTTACCAGAAGCATATACCTTCCAGGAACACAAAGTTCAGTAGCAGAATTTGTAATAGAGTGCGCACTTTTCGTCGAACTGAAACGTAATGTTTAGAATATTTGCTGCATAGGCCTACTGTTTTCAAAGAAGCAGACCACAGATATTATGTGGCTGCATTATGGAAGAGGCGTAAGGTTACACCGATTGGTAGAACTTTAGGGGATTCATCACACTTAGTATATCTCTGAAGTGTGTGGAATTATTGTGGTATTGCTTTGTTGGAAGTGCACTTTATTGCTATGTACGTGAATGTATGGTGATCTGTTGTCACTATAGGAACTCATTTTCGGCATTCGAAATGCGTATTGTTATGGATGTTGAAATCTACATTTTGCTAAAGAACCAGGAGGCCTCGAGCATTTACGGAAATGGCAGTACCAAATTGGACCGAGGGCACACTGAGACTTAAAGGCTTCAGTTACATTGGTCCTGAAAATACTTGGGAAAAACCGCAAAATTGCCTCAACTTCCTCTCCCTGACAAAAAGTGGCACCTGGATATCTATACATTGTCACACTGTTACAAGCATGCGTTTGTCCAAGAAGTAACTGGAACACGTGATCTCCCTCCCATAATGATGGATGATCTGAGGCCAGGCACTCAGTTGATGACGTCTTTAAAGACAACAGAAACTCCGAGCGGCTCCGCTGTGTCTGCTTTGGTGTCTTCAAGGCGCTCGTGTCTTTCACCCAGCCCCAATTCCCTGAGTTTGGAGGAAATGGTGTCGATATACTTCTGCCTGTTATTGCCTGCGATTAATGTGAGCGTCTTCATGTTCATCGCATCTCAATACTTGGGCTCTTGGATTTCAAGCGGGCTTTTAGCTGTGATTAATGGTCACGAGACAAAGTGGTGTTTCTGTTGAGGAGAGGGGCAATTACGTCTTCCAGACGGAATTGGATAAGTTTTAAGTTGTTCTTTGTTCAGCTTTCATAACTTTCTAGACTGCTCAGTGGTAGGAAGTGTGTCAAACTTGTAATAGGCGACTTCAGCCACTAAAACAATTTGACTGAATTTCTATGTGTATAAATGCCGCAGCATAATGCAGAAACATAGCTATGCGTGTGTGCACTGAAAGCCAAAGCAAAGTTTACAGGGTCACTTCTGTCTTATCAGTGTTTTTTAACATTTATATGCAGCCAAGGGAACGAAGTGTGTCTCTATCAAGGGTAAGTATCACATCTAGTTCCTCCGCATCTCCACACCTGCGCACCCTAACCTCAATAATTATTAACCGTGTAAATGGCACGTATTGAAACAGCACGTATGGCCATGGCCAAGGAAGCGTGATGGGTGGTGGTCCTGTTCCCATGACCTATGTGTTATTGCCTCCAGCTGTATCGGATACGACTCTGTTTTCCCTTTTATACCCCTGCAGAAACTGTCTGGTTCCTGACCCTGACAATTTCCTTGATGTGTATTTGTAGGTCCGGAACCACTATTGAAAAATATACCTGATGAAATTGTAACACTGAAAATGGCTCACTAATACCAAAAAGAGTCTCAGGTTTCCTGTCAGGGGGCTGGTTCCAAAAAGAGGGGCGGAAACGAGGAATTTTTTATTTTGTTTTGCCCTCCCTTTTTTCTCCTAAAAATGATTTTTGTATAAAGTGCGATGTCCATCGCCACTGCATGCGTAATACGCACCGCCGCTGCCAACAATGAAATAGACTGGCCCCCTCGCTATTTAAAATCGTTTTCAGCTTGTAGATGTACACAGGGCATATGACTACCTGCTTTGTGTGTTTTCCGGAGGTTAATGTAAAATACAGAAATGACGTCATCTGAAAAAAAGTGCCCGACTAAATTTATAGGGCCTAGAGGGACACCTTTACTGTACACATTACTCAACCGTATCACATCTAAAACACGTTAAAATTACACAGCAGGATTCTAGTCGATCAAGCACGGTCGTTGGGTTTTGGACGTTGCATTATACCAAATAAAAAGTGTTTGTATTTTGTGGACCGCGATGTTGTACTGCGATGTGCACGCTGACCAGAAATCGGAGATTTTTTGGGCCTAAGTGGGAACTCGCAATGCTATATAAAGCCAACTAACCAACCAAGGGTCTTTGAAGAAATGGAATTAACAGAGACTCAGACACGAACTTCCAGGTTTCAAAAAAGGCAAAATAATTTATTTAAAGAAACAACCGGATGAATGTAAACCACTTCGACTGAACCTAAAAAATTGACAAGCTAATCAAACTGATCAAAGCCCGAGACTAAGGAAAGGAGAACTTAATAAACCTTAGACCGATAAGTAAAAACAATTTGTGAAACCAAGTAAAACATACAAATAAAACCAACACAATGTACAATGTACCTTTTGAATACATGCACTCGAATTTTCATCTGTAAAAACAAACGAAGAAAGTAAAGGACATTAAGAAACAAAACAGAACTCTTGTGCACGAACTACATAGTACAGGAAGCGAGAGCAGGGATTAATATGTTATAAAGTCAAAACTGTGAAAAGGCGTTTGTGGCCGTATTCAAATTCCTTGCATATCTGAGTAAACAATCAGGCCAGGTAAGGAAGTGAAAACACAGAAACCTATGTTCTGAGGAAAATGGGTCGAGATACTTATGCATCACTACAATACGTAGGCCACAAAATAAGTAAAGAATAGTAAAATAGATGGGAAGAATTCAAGGAAGAAAAGATCTAAAAGTTAACCTTGGCAAGTGATAAAGGCTTGAAGTGTAAGTTTTCAAGACATAAATCCTTGACAAAGTTGTTCCCTGAAACTCGAGGAAACTTTCAATGATTCAGGAAACTACACGTAATTCTTAGAAAGAAGAAGGAAAAACGTTAATTGTATACATGTCTAAGAAAAGCTACCAACATCACTAACGACTCAGACGGAACTCAAGACCGCATTCCTTCGGTGGAACAATGACTTGTCTTTGCTGATCTGCTAAACTGAGCACAGACAGATCACGTGGCTACATTGGGCCTCGACCGAATCATTTGACTGTGGCTTGAAATTACACACAACTCTATGGGAACCGGCCGTGGCCTCTGTAACATAGTCTTGTGCATAATGTTAGGCTACAGCCCGGTAATTCAATTAAACACAGTCTGATATGGGGGACTTGGGGCTTAATTAAAGAAACAAATTAAACAGGGGACACACTACTAGGAAAAGAAAGGGGGATCCTAAACTAAAGCTAAGTGTTTTAAAGGGGAGCAACTCTACGTAAAAGTGTATTTCATTACTAAGGCGTAATATTTTAAAGTACAACCTTCGTCACAAAGGAAAACTTACAAAAGTGACGGTAAGTATTCAGACGGACAGTCACACAAAACTCATTTACTGTACCGCCTTCCTTTCATCTTCATTTTTGCCGAAAGACCATGACTTTGCCTACAAAACTAAGCCAATGGGGGTGTATGACACCCCGATATCCCCCCCAGCGACGTCTGTGACTGTCACAGCAGACTACATCGCACCGAGCCCGTAACTCTACTATCCAATTTTTTTAGACGTGCAAATGATCCCTACACAGGACAAAAGATAGGCGACTGGTAGTGCCCTACTTATTCGGGAGAAGGTTCCCCCAGACATTTCAAAGAAACTTTTGTGTCTTTTTCCTATCATAAAGTTTCCCTGAGGTTTTTTACTAAATTGTAGGTCCGGTCGCCTGCAAATGAAAAATAAAAAAAAAATAAAAAAAATAATTAAGAAAATACATAAATGAATAAAGAAAGAAATAAAAAGAAAAACAAAAACTACACCTTAACAAGAACGTGACGCTCCTTGTCTACGTCTGAGCGCATATTTGAGGTAAAGCTTATACGAGGACGTTAAATCCTCACTCTGGGAGATACAGCTGAAAGTGGGTTTTATCAACCGGGGATTACTATGGTCTTGGCGAACCCAACATTTCAAGACAGAAAAATGCAGGCACGACGACATGCGCATCTCGTGCAAACGTACTATTCCGCACGATCAGAATTTATATGTTTATGAACGGTAACTGCAGCATGTCGTCTCCTATAGACGACAACCGCAATCGTCGGATTTTAATGTCACGACAGCTTTCCTTTAAAATGTAGTATACCTGGCCCCTGTCGCGTCGAGTCGCATAATGCCTTACTATTACTGTCTAGACTAGGTTTCTTTACACAAGGGATAAAAAACAATCCCCGCACTGAATAAAACGAGAGAAATCCTCGAACTTTGCTCAGCTTAACCGTGGACTCGTGAAATGCGACGCCCTGGAAAGAAGGGAGCAAGCATTTACTCGGGCCCGCTGGGGGTAATCTAAGCATGTCTGGTTTTTCACGGTGTTCATGTCAACAGTGCCACGCAGGTCTGGGACGGGGGGGGGGTCGCATTATATCTCCAGCGCTTTAGAGGGGTTGGCGGCCAATATTTGCTGCGCGGAACATAATCGCGCAGCGAAGTGCGTCTTTGTGATCCGTAACCTGCACTTGAATACGACAAGATGAAGCTTAAGTGCGTACGTGCTGCTGTCTTGTCATAGTACTGAAAGTTAGTATGTACACTAAACATTCGACCTGGAGCCTCAGTGGCTCATTAGGCCCGTGTTCATTGCCAGTTTCTTTGAAAACATCTTTTCTCTGCCCCATTACTCCGTATACTCTAAAAAACACCAGGGTCAGATTGACCCGGAATCTGGGTCCCATGGGACCTGACCCTCTTCCCGGTCAAATTATGACCTGTTTTGGGTGATATTTGACCCAGAAGGGGTCAAAAATGACCGCGAGTCCGCTGTTTTATGCCTGTACCCAATTGTGCTTTTTGCAGGAAGAGCGGAAGTGTGGGCTATAATGTAGTTCAAGACACGTTATACTAGCTCAGGCTGGAGTCGAACCCCTCCTCACACACACACTTACTTGTTTCACATACGAAATGTACGTGGACATACCCTTGATCTGTGGTTAGGGTAACTTCGGGAAAATCATCCCTTTTTCCTCCACAAGGACAATTCCTTCAAGCTGGAGTTTGATGATAATTTCCTGGACTGTTCTGCTTCATTTTGCCACAGTTAACCTTGACCCCCACATGCCTCTGAAGCTGTTTTTCAGAGAGGGGAAAATAATTGTGTGGACGTGTGGACGTGCAGAGGTCCACACTTATGTATGCCACGTCTGTATATCCTCACACCCACCCACATGCGTTCATGGGATGGAAACCGAGACTGCCGGGCCACGCAATTTGTTTCTAAAAGTAGGACCGTTTTAGTGAGAAAAGCTCCGTGCCTGTTATAAGTCTGTCGTGATTCATCCTCCACATTCATTCATTGTCAAGTGCCCCCCCTAAGTAATGCTGTACAGCTCGTCCTATGATCATGAAGGTGAGATGCCGTAGTGTACCCGAGCTATTTTTTTGCTTTGATTGGACTAGTGCAAGTCTACTGGAGCATTCGTAGTAATTGTGAATGAAACCATTTCTACTGGTATTCGATACCAGTAACTCCAGTCAAAACAGCGATGACTCATGCAGTGTGTGTTGTACGACCAGCTGCGTAGTGCTATTGTACTTTCGCAGACCGTGTCTGTTTTGTGGAATGCCATGAAAAAATCTCTCACCGACGTCACGGCTCCATGTGCAATCGCAATCTGTACACCTACTATTGTAAAGCTGGTTTTTTTTTTAACTTACACACGTCGCAGGCTTGTTTCAACATTCAGTGGCTCTTTCTCCGGTGTGAATAAAGATCAGCCAGTCTGTAAGTATTTTAATATCGGTGCGTTTTAGTCTGAATTTCGTGTCTGGATGAACTGGTGTCCCGTTTATCATAACCAGACTTCTGCGATAGCGCTTATTATCGGATGGAGTTCTCGGAAGTTTGGTGGGGGTTACCGAGGAAGTTTTCCCCGCTGCGTGGATGTGATGGCACGCTTAGTGACGCATATATTATTCAGACATCTGGCAGACAGATATTGGTCTGCCAAATGAATTCACGTTACATTTTGTGCCCGAGAGTTCTGTGTTGTGACAATTTTTTTAGGGTTGTTTACTTGTTGTTAGCTTCAGTATATTTGTCGTCACCAAAAGCAGAAAATAACCTTTTTAATTCCCTTGCCAGTGTGAAACCTGAGCCCTGGAACTCGCAGAATAACACGTCTGCGGATCGTTTACGGAGTTTCTACTGTATAATAGGCAGAGTAGAGTTTTAGCCAAGACGTTTACAAGACATCTCAAGTCCATCACGGGTGTGTCATGACACCAGTCGATTATATTTTCAAGACAATTAAATCATGTACTGCGCTCTCGTTTTGTAACTCACAAGTGGCTTATAATGGCTGGCTGTCAGTGCTAATGCAAAAGATTAATAATGAATTTGTTAACAAATTCATGCAGCTGAAACGCCAAATACTAACTAAAAATTCGACTCTAATGTACAGTTGAGGCAGAACCTGACACCAATAAAGTATGATTTCTGCAAACTCAGGCCGACCATACGAATAGCAGGCAGTACCAGAGAAAACTATAAAATGGTGCTGAGGGCGTAATTGTTCACCTCCTAAGTCATCAATATCTCAAGTACTGGAACGTCCAATCTTGTGATGAGCAAGTTGCAGTTCTGGCTTTGATGGCTCTGTGGAGTGAGTTGACAGTTTTCGTAAACACTGAATTAGTTTACATGCAGCAGCCTAGTTTAATTCGCAACCATTATAGGTCTTTTTATATTACCACCATCGCCGTCGTTTCCTTGGTGAAGGGTACCTCTGATGCAGGTGAACCATTTTGTACGCTATCGCCCCCACATACGTATTTGTCCGTTCGTCTTCTTGACATCATTTTGAGGAGTAATGTCCAATATTATTGGCAAACATCAACTGTCTGCTCTATCTGTCAGACAAAGAACTGAAGACGCGACTCCCGCCAGATGGCAACTGATAGTGGAAATTATTTGGGGCAGTTGAAGTGGTTCATCACCTTCCTTCAAACCAATGTTAATTATGTACTTGTTGCTAAAAAATCCCTTGCTGTCCCCCTAGAGGATTCCATTGTCATTCTGTGTTAACTCAATCACGCCCCTTCAGTTGCAAAATGTGGACATTTTACTCATTTGCCAACTGCCCCTTGAGAAAGTCTTAGATACCATATACACCTCTTGCAGTGTCCTTATACAGTCTATACGGACACGTGCAGTGTACATGTACGTATAACATATCATACCTTAGCGGTAATTATTAAGCTCGTAAAACCTAAGACTTATCCGATTGTTTGCGGGGAACTCCCCATGAAATTTAAAACTGGTCTGTATTTTTTTTTCGAACCTCAACAGTTATGAACTTGTTTCCTTTGGCTGCTGTCCAATTAAAGCAACGAAGGATGGAATTATACTGTGGGAGAGTAGGCCCGCCTGATAATTGTAAATTATATTATTGACAAAACATAGCTTTGCCTCTTTGCGACTATTGCCTTCTTTTGAACATCTGGGGACTTAATGCGAAAAATGAAATTTTTACATGAAGTCTATGTACAAACGCTCGTCATTTCTCAGCGCTTTATACGCCTTGGTATGATTTGTTCTATCATAAAAGTGGTTTTGGGACAGGGCAATTTTATATTTCATGCCTTCCAGACTGGATGTAGACATGCTTTACAACCCTGATCACAGTCTGAGCAAGCAAACTTAGAAAAGGATTCTCTTCGAAGATTTAGAATTACGTATTATATAGAGTGGGCGTGATATAGGTTTTCCCGGCCAATTTTGGAAAATATGTAAATGAATTAGTAATTGCAGCATTCGTTTTCGAGGGAAATAGAACGAACAGTCAAATCCCCGTTTGCATTTAACAAATACAAATTCTATTTCAATGAGGGTGCATTCAGTCGTATAGAGTCAGCGTTCAATGCCGCAACTTTGCACTGGTTTAGAATGTTGACATTCGTTTTTGCGCGAAATTGAATGCACTCTGCAATCCTGCATTCATGTTAATTTGAGCTCAATCTAGTTCGGAAAACGTGCAGCGGTTTTAACGTATGCCTGGTCAAGAATTAAAATTCGTTGGTGTGCTAACAGAAGTTACATTCCTAAAAGTATGTAGTTGATTGGTTAATTGTTTGAATATTCATGATTGAAATAAATAATTCATGCTGTCATTGGAAACATACCGACTATTGTAGGAAACCTATAAATACCGACGCCGAGGGAACCTTCCTTCTTGTGCTCCGTTTCAATCGTAAAAACCTTATCTTTTCAGAGATTTATAACATACACAACATTCATGAGTTTGAAATTTGGCATCAGAGTGGTGTCATGATTTGTGTAAAATTGTATACTCTAATCATATTTTGCAATTTAAAATTACAGTAAATGAAAATATTCACTTCCAAAGGGTAACGGTAAAAGAACGATTTTTAGCGAATCAGAATGCATATTATTTGTTGTAATTGACAACTAATATGTCAATCTGAAATCCCAGTCACGTAGCTGTAACATATTTAATGAAGCGTAAAGCACATTCATTTAGGATGCAAAACGAGGTCGCATGCATGTTATTGCAGATTAAACCGTTTTCAAAATCTACGCCAAATTGAATATTTTATTTTACAAATTTTCTAAAATTGGCCGGAAAATCTATATATGCAACATTCAATTTTTTTCTGGATATGGTTTGGTTCAGGGAACGAAGCCAAGGAACATTTGCGTATCTCCCTCAGGTCTCATAATAAGGTTTTATTAAATGGCAACGCCCAGATGCCACCTTCCTCGATTGTTGTGCATTGCCGTTATAGACGCTGTTCCCCCCCCCCCAGTACGCGCTCTTTGGCTGTGGTGTCTGACTTTTGACACGAGTGAAGCGACAACCTCTATCTCAAGAGCGATCGACCGAGCAGGAATTTCATTAGACGCCCGGCGGGGCGGATTAGTAGTCGGGGGAGAACTAGATGAGACGTTTGGAGTGAACGTACATTGTAGTCACGAAGATTACAAAATGGCGAGCCTTGCAATTTTGCTCGGGGCGCTCTTGTGGCAACAGTTATTTACTTATTTCAAATTCTGCATACAACTTTAACTAGATTTCATATATAGGTATGTGTTACGAAAGGTGTTCGTTTCACCCTTTGACAGAATCGTCCGTCTGGTTTTAGGCCCAGTGATGTATGGGTGCTGAAATCTATGCGTAAATTCAATCACCTTTTCGTCACTAGTATATTCAAGTTTTGGGTCGGGGGGGGGTATTTTATTCTAAAAATGGTGGTCTCAATTTCTTCATCATAGAAATTCTTTCTTTTGTTCAATGGGACATATAACACCATTTGGAAAGTGTCAGTGGTTTCAACTCCTGTAAAAAAAAAAGGAAAGAAAAGTGCCTCGCCCCGACTAGATACGCTACAGGTTTTCCCAACTCTCTGAATCCCCCTTTTTTGTTTGTGCTTTTTAAATGTTCCACATCAGTTCTTTTCTGCGACAATGCGACAAACATTTGAGATTTGTATAATGTCATTCACAGCATGACGAATAAATTCTTGCGACTGCCACTGGTATCACATTAGGGTATAGCTGGTTTACATGTCCACATTGCTGCATATCGAAATCGAGCCGCCATTTTATGCAGTATATTCACGGAGGCTAAATGTGCCTGATACGAAGCCCGTAATAAGGTATCACATTCTTCGTAGCTTCGTGCTACGGCGAGCATAAAGTTCAAGGTTTAATCACTTGTGTACTCGAACAACGTGATACGTGCAGCAGACGGCGATTAAATATTATGATAATGGTAGTGTGTAGCCGTTTGTCTGTTGCATTTCAAATTATGTCTCCGACACGTGTCACTGACGATTTTATGCAAAGTATGCCTCATAGTGGAAAATCTGCTCTTTGTTAATGGTATATAATGGCCTCTTCCAGCGTGCTGTGTCGTTGATAATAGCACATTCAATTGCTCAAAACTGCAAATTTGTGTCCTTAGATACAGTATAATATCAAGGAAGCGACTGTTTGTCAAGCTGTGCAATTTTCAAATCATCCACTATTCGTTTCCCAAGGGTGAAAGCTAAATTTAGACCGATATCAAACCAAGGCATTTTTTTGCAATAAGAGAGGTCTGTGACGTTGAAAGAGTGGTTGATTGCAGCAGACTGCAATAATAGTTGATTTGTGAGGAATGGTGCAGATCAAGGGGTTAAGATTTTCTTTTCTTATTGAGTGATTGCATGAACTGTCCTGTTGACGCAAGCAAAGTGTGGTATTCTTAGCAGCTGTGGGTTGATTTATGCAGTGCACTGAAGACCATAATGGTCTTCCCAGCATGCACTGTTTGTGTAAGTAAGTGTTCGCGGCCATTTTTAAAAGCCGATTAGGTGCATTTCCAAGGGAGGCTACGTGCATTGTTTGCTTTGCGCGGGTGCACCGAAAAAAAAGTCTCACTTTGCCTGTAAAATATATCTGCCTTGGACCTCTATCACAGGGTAGCCGTCTTGCTTTTCTACCATTCAAAGTAATTTAACAAACTCAGGCTGGAAGGACACATAATCTGTTTCCTTTTATTATTATGTAAAGTTGAATTACCTTACCAAATTGTCTACGGGGAACAAGACAAACATGGTAGCGTCATGATAAAGGCCTATAGCGTGCATCTCGTTCTTCAATCCCGTAAAGTAAACCTTTATACCTTGTGGAGTCTCAGAGTAAAGGCCTAATCTAATTCTGATTCCGCGAGTCTGCTGAAATATGCGGTAGGGCCGGGAGCACGGGACGGAGATAATCCA